GAAATAGGTTATGTTGTATTTTATATGTGCATTGTTTATTGTGCGTAGGTATTTTGTTACAAGTATAGTAAGTATACGTCAATTCATTAAGTTGTCGGAAAGTTCCAATTATTACAATAGATATTTTCCATTTGGTACAAGTTGACACAAGTGTCATCTTATTTTTGTTTCTTATTGAAGGTTAAGAAAAATAGAATAATATTTGTGACGACTTGTGTCACTAAATAGAGAAAGCAACCAATGTGTTTGCAACGCGATGTGATACATAAATATAAATAGAAACAATTTGTTTGTCACATTATGTTGTATGTTGTATTTATTGTTGTATATATATTTTGTTATAGGTGTAGTGAGTATACGTCAATTCGTCAGGATGTCTCAGTTATTGGACAATGTGCCTGATGTGGACATCGATGGCCACGGAAGATTTAAGTACATTTTAATCAACGTGCAGGATGACGTTGGAAAAGTTAGCAAAAAGATTGTCAGAGGATACGCAAGAGCACAGTGGCATGGTGAGTCCAAAATATGTATATTAAATTTATTTTTTATTGCTACACTAGAACCTTCTTCCTTTTTCGCTTTTGTTACATATATCTATTTTACTTTAAGTGCAAAGAAGGTATATTCAGCTATAAAAGCAATATCTAATCGCATATGATAAACAGCGCTGTAATCTGAGATAGGCAACATTGAAACATTAATATGACATTTAAATAATTTAAAAAAATATTTTATAAACATAGATGAGAAATTAATTCGTAATTTGTTTATAGCTATTTAATAACCTGTAACTATAAATTATACACATTATATAAAGTTTAAGAATGATCTGGATTAAATTTTTGATTAACATCTGTTGGAACTTATATGAACTTTTTTGAAAACTCAATATACTTATATATTGTATTTATTATTTACAATGTTAAAAGATACAGTCTGTATATCTTTACATATTTTTATTATAAATAAAGATATATTGAAGTGTTATTTGACATTTGTGTTACTACCGTTTGAAAATGACTACTATTATATTAGTTACTTTTTTATTAGTCGCATTAGTTTGTAATTTTTCGCATGATTGGTCAGTCGATATATTACTTATAAACAAAAAATAGTAATTGTGCAATGTATTTCATTATCACTAAATATTAATGATAAATGTAATGGATTTAAAGTTTATATAAAAATAAAAAAAATGTTTTTACAGTTGTAGATATGCATAGATAATTTTTCTTTTACTTAAGTTCAAGTATACTTTCATTTGTGAATACAATATTTTAAAATATTTTACATTGGTTATGAGGTCGAAACCTGTCATTCTTGTTTAGAGAAGAATTTTCATAATCCTCCAAAAAAATTAAATTTACAATTATCGAGAATACAATTCAAATTTTATCTAGTGATTGTGAGATAATTTGTACATTAATTGTTATAATAAAAAATAGATCTTTATCTCCTTGAAAAAATATTTTTGATATTTTTAATTCGATATAAATTTATATAGATATATGTTTATATAGATATAACTTTATATAGATGGTTAAAGCTAAGTTTACAATTTATGTACAAGAATGATAAAATGATTTGGGTTCATAATCGGTTCTTAATTGAATTACTATCTTAAGTAATGTCTTAAAATACTAATACGATTCTGTAGTCGGTATTCACTTTTTATATTTCATCATAAGATCATCTTAAGGACCATCTTAACCTTCAGTATCCACATTTTAAAAAAGTTCCTATCTACTCACATCCGGGTTTGTAACCTAGCGTTTTCTTTTGCTTGTAGATTGTAGTGCATTGATTTTAACTAATTTTTTTTTAATCTATTGTTTGAAGACTGAAAAAAAAAAAGAATTTTTGAGTTAGTCTAAAATGTCATAACATAAAAGATATTTTGCAATAAGTGAAAAGGGAAAAAAACATCTGAACTATGAAAATCGGAAGGGAGGGGGGAGGGGGGTTATGCTAACCCTTTGTGGGTACTGAGAGTTAAGACATCATAAACCAATCATAAAGTTGTACTTAAGATGATTTTAAAGAAGAATTGACTATGAATATCAGCCAATGTCTCGCATATTTTTTCATATGTTTTTGAAATGAATTACTCAAAATCTGATTGAAATGATTAGGATGGCAGTAGGAATATTCTTATATATTAAATAAGTAGGAAGATATAAATGCAAATAGTTTTAAGCGATGTACATTCACGAAGTTTTAAGTATATAAGTTAGCGATAAAATTCTCCTAATTCTTACAAGAATATATTACACGTATACATATATATATATATATATATATATATATAT